ATATTATGATTTTAATTGAGGTCTTACAGAAATATTTTTACAGTTTCTAAAAACCTACCGAGTCTAAAGTCAGTGTGGCGGAGAATTTGTGCTCATTTATGCCTTCCAGTATGGCCTCTGTGCCCCTATATTGACCATTAAGGATCAAAACTCGTTTACCTGAGACAGAAACATAGATTACATTAAGAATTTCTTTAAAAATATATATACATAGTATACACAGCATAAATGAGTATACATCCACATATATCCATAATTTACACAGCATTATAACATTTTTGTTATTTACAAGTTATATACAAATTATTTTAATAAATTAGCTCTGGTATATATACATATACATACATACATACGCACGCACGCACACACACACACAAATATGTTGTTATTATTATTATATAGCATCCTATGAAAAATTTGCATTAAAAAGGCTGGCCACTGTATATACTAGTTGTGTCTCCCATAGGGGGGGGAATACAATATAAATGTGAGTAAGCAATCATTTAGCCATACATACCTTAAAAAATAAAATAAAAAAACTAGTTTATTAAGAGTAATGCAATACCAGGAGCTGGAATGACTGTCTCCACATGACTCTGGTCCAGTTTGAGTTTGTCTCCAGAGTCCACCATCTTCACCACAGCTGTGTATTTACCCTGTAGCTCCTATAAAAATCACACAGATACACACGTTAGCACTGTAAACACATCATTCATTATGCAATTATGTAATTACAGTGCTATAATTACCCGAATGATGGCTTTCTTCTTGTAATACTTCTCTCCAAGTTTCTTTGTTACCACTTTCACTACAATATTTTCTTGAATCCAGTTATCTGATCTTACTGATTTCTTCTTTTGTTCCTCCATCTGGAAAACAAGCAACAGGAAATGTAAACCATTACAAACAAAAAACCTTTGCATAGAAATTCTTTGCATGTGCTATTTGTAATTATGGTGCACTGTTGTTACAAAATTTTAGTACATAAATTATACAATGCAAATTTCTTTTCCAGGTGCATTTTATAAATGAGCTCGTTCATTTGTGTTGTTTCATTTTTGTATATCAATATGGAAAGCTGACCTGCAGATTTATTTTTCCTTTTTACATTTATTTATTTATTTTTATTACATTTTTTTACGCAGCCCTAAAGGGACATCGTGGTTGAAAAAATAAGGAGAAAAAATAATATTTTCCAAAACTTTTACATTTTTGCATTCCTTTAGGAAACTTGATATTTGCTTTGCAAAACTTTTGCTTTTTGTGAATAAACAATTATAATAATTAAGATTTATAATAATAAATGTATAACAACAACAATAATAATAGAGATTTATAAAAAATAATAATGATAATAATAGCAGCAAGAGAGATGCTTTATTGTTTAGGTGCAAATACAGTTTCATGGCTAGGAAATTTTCTAAAGTGCAACAGCTAGATCACAACCAATTCGAATAATTTGTGTGACCCATTGTAGTGCATAATATATATAAAAAAATTATGTCAGATATAGGAGAAAAAACAGCTTAAGATGTCCTCAAAGTGAAATTAATAAAACTAGCAAAAAAAAAAACATGCCTCGATGATCTCATCCAGAGCAGATTTCTTTTTCTTGTCCTTAAACTCTCCGCTGAGGGAAGACTCTTTCCTTTTGACAGATGCTGTAGTTTTAAGGGCACTAGGACCTAAAGTGGTGCTGTGGAAGTAAAATGGATGGTTGCTCTTATTAGGTTCTGTTAGATTACAGCTCTTCAACCGTGGCTATTGATACTTCAAAAACAATTTTAGACTGATGATACCTTGGTTTGGACGGTCCAGCTGCGGCGATCTCGAGGTTAAAAGCCACTTTCTCATCTTCGCTCTTCCGCTGAAGTTCTGTGAATACTGGTTCCTCCTGTGGAAACATGGATATTAAAAACAATCGAAAGAAATAAAAAGAAATTTATTTTTTGGTGCGTATATCACACACCGTTGGCTCCCTGCCCTCCCGACCACGGCGAACTTGTTCTTCGATGAACTTGGCGCTCCGTTCTTCATCATCCAAGTCCTGTTTCTTCTTCCTCTCCAGCTCCTCCTGCCTGCGAATCGTCTCTGGATCACGATCAATGTACTGAACATACCAGCCTTTGGGCGTCTCATCCACTTTGCAAAAACCTGTTTACACACACACAAACATCTGAATGATCAGAATTTGATACCCTTTTAGATGGCTATACTATGTTAATGCAACAGATTTTTTAAATGACAAAGCAATGATTGTAGAATGCATTTTAGGCATAATGCTGTCCTCTCGTAAATTTGTCTTTTTTGTGACGATTTGTCTATTTTTGGAAGACTTAAATGAGTTGACTTTGGATCAACTAGCTTCACTTGCTATGGCTATGTCTGAGGGTGTTGGTCACTTTAGATCATCTCACAATCTTGCAAAGTCAGTGAAACAGTAAAACCAAGCACTTTTAGCTTAGCTTAGCATAGATCATTGAATCGGATTAGACCATTAGCACCTGTCAAAAATTACAGAATTATAAATATAAAAAAATAGCAACATGTAATTTTCTGTCAGCCTTAGTACACACTGTAACTACAGAAGAGTTGAGCTTGAAAAAGTAAAATTATCAAAACTCTTTGGTCTTTTTTGATGCTAATGGTCTTATCAGATTCAATGATCTATGCTAAGCTAAGCTAAAAGTGTTCTCACCAGACCGGGAGATGAGTTAAATGGATAGAAAATGGTAAAACAAGATTGTTTAACTCTAGTTGACTTGTAAAAATTATCCAAAAAGAGTGGATTTGTGTTTTAATACTAAAATAAAGTAAAATTTAGATCTCCACTGTAATGTTACACATACAGTACATGGGACACTTGCTTTTTTTTAAATACAGTTTTTAAGATGCTTGCCTTCTCTCCCAAGCCATTTGGTGAAGTCGGTGAGGGTCTCCCACTGTGTAGCATTCATATGAACGTGTTCTCGATGACTGATGTACTCGTTATACACAATGTTATTGTGAACTCGTTTGGTCCCTGAAAGAACAAACACAAGCCATCTTAGCCTAAAATTACAAAACATGCACAAAATAAAGAAGTTTATATAAATAATAACAATGCAATAACTTACCAAAGCGTCTTCGGAGCAGTTCTAAGAAGTCAGTTTTGAACTCGCTGTAAATTCAGAATTTAGAATTAAACTCTATTTCAATGATAGCTGGATAAATTGATGGATATGGATAAATAGTGTGTTTACTTACTCTGAAAAGTAGCTCAAGAACTGGTTGGGGTTCTCAGAAGCTAACAGCAGCTGTCTCTGATGAGACTCAGACATGCAGTGACATTTAAACCCGTTCTGCAGTCAAGAGAGATCATGTTAGATCGCAATATTTATATAATCAAAGAGAAGTCATAGGCTCTGTTCTTTGTACCTCACTCAAAACATCTTATGTTATGATTATTTGAGACATCACAATTTTTCTTTAAATCATGATAACTGATCTCTGGCTAATTTGTTTCTTCATTGTGAATTAAATTAAAATATCTGGATTAATATCTGAGATTGCCACACATGCTCGTGTTTGTGAAGGACAGATATATTGATCCTCAGCAAGTGTAATAATGACATCTAATTAAAATTGGCAATGTGAGCAAAATTACTAAAAGGAAAGATTTAGCAGCCTAAGAATAAATTAGCATATCTGCTGACCTAAAGGCAATTTTGACTGAAATGTATAGCAGAAGTCTTTGATCCACGAAGAACATGTTTAAAAAAATTGCTTGAACTTTTTTTCTTAAAATTAAATAAATATATTTAGACCAATCAATATTTTCCATTCCTAATTTGAATATATTTGTATTTTCTTAAAAGTGGTATTACTCACTTTTACTTTTATATTTTAATTTAATAATTATTTAAATTTATTTTAAAAATCTCTCATTTTATTGAGAAATGATCTGTCTCTCTCTTTATCTCTCTCTCTCTCTCTCTCTCTATGGGTTTCTAAAAATGCTTAGCAGGTTATTACAAATGGCACAATAGAGTAAATAAATGTATTTAAATTTAAATGACAAAAAGATAAGAGCAAATTTGTTTTATATGTTGATGATTTCCAGTAAAACGGTAAGTAGCTCTCTATTTTGAGATGCAATCAGTAATGCCAAAATTCTTTCTAGACAACATAAGGCTGAGACCTCAAATGTTCTCCTCAAAATGTTGTCAAGGTATGGACAACAGAAACTGATCAAACAAAGCTATTTCTACGTTTTAAAGAGATATTACAGCCCAAAATGAAAAATCTTTAATGTTTAATGTCCCTTCACTTGTTCCACGCCTGTTTGAGTATCTTTTTTTCTGTTGAAAACAAAAAACATATATTTTAAAGGAAGAAAGAAAACCAGTAACCATTGAAATCCATAGTATTTTTCTACTAAGGAACTCTATGGCTAAAGATTTTCAGCTTTCTTCAAAATATCTTTTTTTCGTGTTTAACAGAAGAATGAACTGTTAAAGGTTTATAATAGCTTGAGGGTGAGTCAGAGAGTTATATTTAATTTTGGGGGGAACTATCCCTTTAAGACAGTGGCTAAAATACAGTACATAAAGGCTAAAAGCAGTATTATAAAACCTATAATTAAGGTTTTTAGGTTTAAGAATTTAAGAAAACAAGTTAATAAATAAAATTAGTGTGTCTAAAGAACACGACACAATCACATAAACTTACTTCATCTCTACATTGTTTCTGACACATCTGACAATACCAGCGGAGCTTCTGAAGGCCTTTGGCTTTGATTCTGTTCGCGATCGCTTTAGGGGTTAAGAAATCCGCTTTCCCCATTTCAAAAACTAAAAAAAGATCACAATAAGTACTGTAAAAATAACAACTCTTCCAATGTACAAGTCCTTTCCCTCTTCCTTGCGTTCTGACGCGAATTCCTCGTTTTGAAATATGCGTGTTTCGTCACGGATTGGTGTGTACCTCTGATGCCGCGAGATTACACGCTAGTACGCGTTTCTGCGCTTTTATTTGCGCCTGCGCAGACCGGCTGCTCTGACCTTCATTGAAGTGAACATGTTCGCCAGGACCAGCGCGGCGGTGTTCCTCCCACAATGGTAAGATTTTACTCATTTATATTAAAACATGTTTTTGCTGGAATACGCATTTATCTTGCGTGCATACATAAAGAACTCAAGCTGTTTCTAATTGAGCAGTGAAACGCAGCTGAAGCGGAGCAAGGACGCACTGATCTTTAGGCCGCGCTTTGCTTAACGTTAAACCTAATGACAGCGCCAGACTCGACATTTACACGTTTTCATATCTGCAATAACTACTACATATGCATTAAAAACTTTGATATGTTTGTTTATTTAGTAGTTGAAATGAAATAAATGCTATCGTGTCAGGAAATGTTAACTGTAGCGGTATGTTGTTTTCCCGTGTCTGCAATGCATTGTGTCATTCATTAGAAGTCAAATTTACTGATGCATTATTGTCCTGACTCAGTTATTATATTGTTTATTTGTTGATGAGATTAACACTTATTAATTTTCTTTTGCAGTGGGCAGGTCAGGAACATGGCAACCTTGAAGGACAGTAAGTAAAGTTTTGTTTTGCAATATAAAAGGTCATTTTTATTATCTTTATGTCGGCAGTTTTTGGAAATATTTATGGCTTTCTGTAAATTTTAATAAGCAGTGTATTGATCTAACTTAAATATAATTTAGTAAGAAAAGTCATGACATTAAAATGATGTATGCATTACAAAAACAAAAAAACAATAAAAATGTACACTTACTCTGTCTAATATAAATATTTAAACCTTCAAGATACAATTAAACTACTTTTAAGATACAAATTCGAAAGATCAAGTCTGTAGAGTTGGTTTAAAGGTATAGTTCACCCCAAAATGAAAATTACCTTTTTTATTCTCCCTCATGTGCCTTTAAATGTTTGCACTGAACACAAAATAAGATGAGAGTTTGAAGAATGCTGGTTGATGGGACCTAATAACTTCCATAGTATGACAAAAATACTATGGAAGCCTACAGTTTCCAGCACCTAGCATTTTTCAAAGCATAATTTTTTTTGCGTTCAAAAGAGGAAAGTTGTATAAACTCCCTTTAAAACAAGTACAATAATTTAAGTGGGGCTTGGAAATTGGTTAAGTTGATTTTTTTCAGTTGTTCATTTTGGTCAATTTGACCCATCTCATAGGTTTTTGTCTTATTAAATTAAGAAACTTTTGAAAATTGTGCTAAAAAGATGCATTTGTTAAAATAGATATCTTTTTGATACAATTTACATTTAGGTTGCTGCCATGTTTTTTTTGTAAAATGCATTAAGAATGAACTTCGTATTTAGCCAAAATGTACAAATCAACTGTCCGTTGAAACTGGTGTTGCATTAAACACAAACAAACAAATCTTCAAGTTTAAAATGTATTTTCTTTTATGGTTTTGGACTTTCAAAGGCCCTGAATTTGCCTTCATAAATTCTACAAAAACTGTTTGACTAAACTAATTATTTTGCATAACTAAGAGTTCATCAGATTCTGAAGAGTGTTTTGTTTCTTGCCAGTCACCATTCGGTTGAAGTCCATTAAGAACATCCAGAAGATCACCAAGTCCATGAAGATGGTGGCAGCAGCGAAATATTCCAGAGCTGAGAGGTCCCTGAAGCCCGCCCGAGTCTATGGCACTGGCGCATTGGGTATGCAATTAATTTTCCACATTTAGGATTTTTTTCTTTCGAAATGTTTTTATTAAAACACAATTTGCTTCAATGAATCTTCGGATCCTTCCGTTAAGTCATTTAATACATCTTAGGTTAATTGACAAATATAATGCTTCAGGGATTAACACTAAGGGTTATTTCTACTGGCCCAGTGGTTCAGGTTTGTACTTGCTCTGCCAAAATTTTCACCGGCCCCACCAAAATAAAGAATTTAATATTTTCAATAATTTGTCAAAAACCAAACATAAAACACTTTTTTTCAGCAAACCTTTTCTTTAAATAGAACTGACAATAAGGAAAATTACAATAGTTAACATTTTGGAAAAAAAAAATCTATAAAAAAAAAACGTTGGCTAGAATTATAGGCTTTAATTTTTGAGAGAAATAACATAAATAAAAGCACTTGGTAATATTTCAGCATGCTTTTTCATATTCGACATAAAACACACATTTACTGATAGGAATGACATATTACCCTACTCATAATTTTCTCTTCGTATAGTCTTTATATTTGGCTATCACACAATCATAATTTGTGATATAGCCTGCTTCATCAGTTCTTTGGATTGTTTTGCTTACTCGCATCAATCGATCCGCTCCAGACTTTGTTTTAATCGATCCGAGACAACCTCATTTAGGCTTCCTTGGACCGATTGATTTGGTGCAGATCCGAGCAGGATTCAAATATGCCAAACAAACCACGCTAACTGGGCAAATAAAATGAAAGCACCTCAAGACTGTATTTGCCGGTAATTGACAGTCGCAGCCAAATTAAACTTTATCGTGCTGGTAACGAGTCTGTCTACTGTCCCGAGCGTCTCGAACGCTGGCCCAGGGCCATCGGGCAGTGCTTATTGTCGAGCCCTGTGCTTGTGATTTTTCAGCATGTCATATTTAAGATCAAAACATTTGTTTTAAGAAGAAGTGAAGCTTATTGCAATCACAAAGTATTGTTCACATCCACCATTAATGTCAGATATTCAGAATCACAACAATCCAGGGAAAATTATTTCCCAATAATAACCGATTAAACTAATAACTCAGGCTGGGTACTACCAGTCATCTTGATCGGTAGTGTATTTATTAATTTAGTCAAAATTGAAAATCTTATAGAGATTTTACAGAGCAAGGAGCAATATAAATATTTTTATAAATATACTTTATCTTATGTTACAAAAAGGCTTCTCTCCATTATCATAAATATTTGAAAATAATTAATTAAACACTAGAATTTCAACAATCATCATTTTTATGTCTGTGTTGTCTAGCTCTCTATGAGAAGGCAGAGATCAAAGCTCCGGAAGACAAGAATAAGCATTTGATCATCGGTGTCTCATCTGACCGTGGTCTTTGCGGTGCCATTCACAGCAGTGTGGCCAAAGCCATCAAGAGTGAGATCGGCAAGCTCTCTGGTGCCGGCAAAGAGGTCATGGTTGTCAATATTGGTGACAAACTCAGAGCTCTGCTCTACAGGTAATTTTTTCCTTGGTGTAATTTGGATGTGTACGTGTGTGTGTGTGTGTGTGTGTGTGTGTATGTATGTATGTATGTATGTATATATATATATATATATATATATATATATATATATATATATATATCATGTTTATTTTTTTTATTATACTTTAATTTATTCCTCTCCACCTGTAATCATCAGGACCCATGGCAAACACATCTTGCTCAACTGTAAGGAGGTGGGCCGCAAGCCTCCTACTTTCACCGATGCTTCTATCATTGCCACTGAGCTGCTGAACTCTGGCTATGAGTTCGACCAGGGATCCATTGTATACAACCGATTCAGGTGTGAGACTTTGCACATTGTTATATACTGAATATATATATTTTTTCTTTCTTCTTTGTTTTGATGTGGAATTTTGTTCTCTGCAGGTCTGTGATTTCATACAAGACAGACGAGAAACCTTTGTATTCCATGGACACTGTTGCAAGTTCAGGTATTGTTTTATTGTACATAAATCTTACTTGTGGCAGCAATCTGATTTCATAACAACATATAATACAACATATAAATTGAATCCTGTGATTCTGAAAAGTCTGATTACCTCCCAAAACTGAATATACACCTGAATAAATGTATTTATTAATGAGTATGGCCCAGATGAAGATTTAAAGTTGTAGTCAGTATTTAAATCAAATATGATTACTTAAGCTACGCACATTCTTGCGTTGTGTTTTTCTAGATCACAACTTTTTAGTTGGAAGTGCCATATGCCTGTTTTATGCTTATGCCGCATTTATAAATTAGACCCCTGGGGTCCGTTCTTTTACCTCGCTTAAATAGTCTAAGATGATTTGGCAGATCATGGATCTTTTAATCTTGATAACTGATCTCTGGCTAATTGGGTGCTTTAAAACAAGTTCGCGAATCAGATTAAAATGTCTGGATGAACTGATCTGAGATCGCTGCAGGTGTTGTGAAGGATATCTATCGATCCTCAATCATGGTCAGCAGTGCAAGGATTGGTTGACAGCGTAATGACATCATCTGATTAATATTTAATTATCCATGTGAGCAAAATTATATCTTAATTCACAGTAAATGGTTTGTTAAATATGATACTTTCACCTTTGTTGAACCCACACATGAACATTTACTCAAAGGAGAAGAACCCACAAAATGTCTATATTGCAACAAAAACCAAACTGTAAAACATATCTTCTTGTGGAATGCCCTATTTTTTGTTATGTCATCAAGCAAAAATTTTTATCTGGAGAGACTTTAAGTGAATTTTTTAAAAATGTGATTACTTCTAAATTTTTTATAAACAAATATTTATAAAATGTGGTAAACTTGATCTGTTTTTTTTTTTTTTTGCCATAACAATTATAACAATCGCAACCTTTGTAAATCATCTGCATATTAGCTTGTAAAAAATACTTATAATTTAAAGTAATTGAAATATTAACTCTTAAGGTAATTACAATGAATATATATTTTTAAATTAATATACAGTATAAAATTGTAGAAATGTATTTAAAAAAATATTTTAAAAAATATATAAATTTTATTGAAAACATACAATTGAGTCTTCTCTGGGCAGTATTTTTTTAAAGTAATTTATTAAACTAATTGTATGTACGTAAAGCATTTGCAAGCAAAGAAATTGCTTCAGTGTTTTAAAATGAGAATATAAAGTGAAATCATGTTCCATCGTTCATTCAGATGAATTTATATGTATTCTAATATGCAAAAATTCAAATGAAATAAAACTGTTTTATACTCTTTATTTTGCTTGGAAAAAAGCACAAATTCATCTTTAACTCGTATGTATACTAATACATAAATAGAAATATAAAAAATGGTAGTGCTAAAAATCAGTGTCTTGATGAAAAATGCAGAGAGTGTATAATCAATTATTTGTTGTATTTTTTTTTGTTCAGAGAATATGGGCATCTATGATGACATTGATGCCGATGTGCTGAGGAACTATCAGGAGTTTGCTCTGGTCAACATCATCTACTTTGGGCTGAAAGAGTCCACCACCAGTGAGCAGAGTGCTAGGATGACTGCTATGGACAGTGCTAGCAAGAACGCTTGTGAGTTCTCTTATGACTTAACCCTTTGGGTTTAAAGTGCTGGAATGGCTTTATGGCATATGTCCATTGCTGATGTAAATGCTCCTTGTATGAATATGTAAATGCTCCTTATATGAATATTTAAATGTTTGTTTTTTTTTTTGTTCATTTTAATTTCTAATTTCACTCTTGTATTTTTTTTCTGTTTATCAGCTGAGATGATCGACAAGCTGACTCTGACCTTTAACCGAACCCGCCAGGCCGTCATCACCAAGGAGCTCATTGAGATCATTTCTGGAGCTGCCGCTTTGTAAGTTGTTTCTCTGAAGTTGTTGCCCTTAGCTTTACCATCATTATAACCCATGAATGCCATGTCTTCTCCTAATTCATTCTTTGAAGTCATGTTCTTAATTACTTTCAACTCATTCCTTGGCTTTATATAATTCCTTAACCTTTGTTTTTGTTAACCCACATTAATCCATTTCCATTTTTTCCTTTACTAACCGTCCACATTATGCATGCATTCACAGGGACTAGGGCATGACTGAGGTAACATACAACATACTGCATTGTGTGCTTTAATAGAGAAAATCATAATTAATAGATTTTTGTTGCATGTGTTGGGCTCTTAGTTGGGTTTGATGTTTTTTCAATGTAGTTTAGTAAAAAGGTAGTGGAGCTTTTATTTGATAGTGACATGTTAGACTTATCATTTGAGCTGGGAATTTAATTTTCTACCTATGAAAGCTTTGAGATGATGCACTATCCGCTTTTTAAGTCGTGACGTATCGGTGACGTATGGAATATTGGTTCCAGGTCCAAGCCGCTATTCATTTGAATTAAGAAAATATTCGTTTATGACCACTTACTAGTCCTATCACACTTTTAAGTGAATTTTATATAAAATCATGGTGTACACCACAATCTCTGGACTTGCTGCATCATAAACACCAAAATTTTACCAATTTATAATAAATTTATCACTTTCTGGATATCGGATATTAGGCATGGATATGTATTTATTGCGATCGTGATTTTTGAATGTATTCCATCTCTTTGTAAACGTTTATTATTACCATTTGATGAGTCTCCCCATTCAGTCTACTAGAGCGCTTGGACCCGGAAGCCACTTGGCATAATGTCACACTTAACAAGCCGATTGTTCACAATTTCAATTCAAATGTTTCTGGCCTTGTTGTCTGACTGATTTAAGGCTTGTTCACACTCAAACTAAATTAGTCTATTCAAGAAAATAAAAGAAATCTACTTTGTTGTTAAAAGTAAAATAAAAACATTGTAGTTTAAAATAAAATTAACTTGAATGTAGTTATGACTTTCTCATAATTCAGTAAAAGTCTAGGGCCCTATTTACACTAATGCGTTTTCGTTTTAAAATGCATACGTTTTGCTACGGTTACGCCATATGTCCACAATACGCCGGAGTTCTCGAGCGCCGAAAACGGAGTGTTTTGAAAACGCTGGAGAGGCCGTTTTCATTCTAAAACGCTGCTGCTCCGTTTCAGTGTGGATGAGGAAAAACGAAGACATCTGAAAACGGAGGCGCGACTGCTGAGATTCGCTACCTGATTGGGGCTTTTGTGTCATTGTGTATCCTTCCATTATCCGTGAAGTCCCTATTACATGACTAAAACACATGGCTTTAACGCTACAGGAAGACATTTCTGTAAACAACATGGGCACAGAAATGGGAGCATTGTTTGCACTATTGTCTGTTTTAGGCACCATTGTGCAGCTATACATTTGTTGCGTTTAGTAACAACTCGACCTCGTCGTCTGTCCCCAAAAATACCTCTCTTGCTTTCTTTGCCATCGCGTTTAATGTTCAATCACCGTTTGTTGACTAACAATAACCAAATGCCGAGCGAGACGCATGCTTTCTGTTTATACTGGAACGCGCATGCCTAGAGTGCGTGAATGGTCACGTAATATACGTTTTTGGTGGCGTAGTGTGGATGAACATATGTTCAGAAATGCTAGGTGAAACGCTAGTGTGGACGCGGATCATTTTTGATCTAAAATGCCGTTTTAAAACTAAAACGCACTAGTGTAAACGGGGCCTAGGTGTGAAAGCACCCTAACTCTGACAGTAAGTTCCACTTGTGTAGCAATGGAACATCTTATTTACATATATCCATGCGAAATGCGCCAGACAAGAAACACAAGCACACTTAAAAGTATCTTAGCAAAGTTTGGTCAACTCTGACCTGTGAATTCATATCATGTAAATGCAAGACCAATAGATCAAAACAGGATTTCACCTTATAGAAAAATAAAATATGGAGAAATCATCTATTTAAGCAGCGTCACATCTTCCGTTGTTTTCCACCCCTTTTGCAACACTCTGAGTAGATTCGTTTGCAATTGTCATTGTCATTTGGAACAACATTAGGAATTGTCAACAGTTTGGAAAAAAACATTCAGTTTCTGTTTGTTTCTGTTACGGTTGTCGTTTATGTAACAACATCAAACCCATGCTACAAAAACAAAGGTGTGAAGTTTTTGTTTTTTTAGATGTAAACTTTTGTAAGTTTACTCATTCATCAAGCGGTTGAACACAATAGGATATTTTGAAGAAAGCTGAAAACCAGCAGCCATTGACTTCCATAGTAGCATAAATAAAATTCTACAGAAGTCAATGGATGGTGGTTATCAACTAAACTCAAACTGGTCTTGAACAAGTGGAGGGGGAGTAAATGATAACATCATTTTTTACTTCTAGGTGAACTCTTTAAATGACACTTGAAATGTTTCCACACTGAACATTTAATTTTAGTGTTAACAAGCCTTTGGAGTGGCCTATTCTCTACATTTAAGTAGATTAAAATTACTATTGATGACGTTTTACTAACCATCCATTTCTTGTCTCGTTCCAGATAAAGCGGAGCCCTGCAAACGTTCGCTGTGCTTCTGGTGCACTTCAATCACCCGATGTAGAATTCATAAATATCTATGTGCTCCTGTTTGTACAATATCAGAGAAAGTAAATAAAGCTCTTACAGAGAAACACCATCCCACTTCTGCAGTCCATTTCTAATGTATATCTTCTTTGACGTGCTCTTTTTAAAATAAATAAATGTTTCTTCAACCCCGGCCTTGTTTTCCATTGGAATTGAAGCTCTGCGAACTCTCCTTTGAAGCCACGGCCTCGGCTGCGCTCTGAGGTTATCAATACACGCCGCATTTGAAGAGAAAAGACGTCTGCCAAAACAAAACACCAGGTCAATCCTGCCAATAAAGCCTCGGTGGCGTTTGCGCACTTTGCTTAAAGCAGTATCAAGTTACTCCGAACTGATTCCCGATAAACCCAATTGACTTAACGGCATCCTTATTGTTCTCTCTCATAATTGCCAATCAAAACAAGTTTAGCCTGCTTGTTATCCATTTGAAACTCAAGCCCGGCCAGGCACCGCGGTATCAGATGAAGCCATCGAGCTGCGGTGTTGGGTGTCCGCATCCATGAAAGGGTGAATTTGGGGGTCACTGATTGTAGAAGAGGGTCCGATCTATTAAAGTAATGGACAAGTAGAAAGTTTGACCATATGGGTCACTCATGTATTATTTAATCAGCTGCTGCTGGAGATCAGATTCTGATGGTTATCATCTGAGAACTGATGCACATCACTATACCCAGATACTTTTTATTTTTTATTTTAATGTGTAAATTTGCATTATCGGAGGGAAGATTTAAAATAAAAATAATGGAATAGAAATAATAATGTTGATTTAAAATAAAAAAAACTGTTCAGAATAATTATTTTCTGTTTATACTGTGTTGGAAACCTAATCTAAACATGTGATTTAGATTAGTAATCAAGCGTGATTTAGTTTTAAAAATGGTATTTAAATATTATTTATATATAGTTTTTACCACTACAGTATTTTTGACTAATGTATATGAATGGTTATCATATACAAATTATATATGCACAACTTTTTCATGAAATAATAGTGAATTGAACTTTATTATTATGAATATTACCATCTATGGTGTGTAAATGAAAAATGTCTGTAAGCAACAATATTTTTTCCCTATTATATTTTATATTAATAATAAATGTGTGTGATAATATTTGTGTGCACATAGGCACACACACAGAAATAGCAATGCAGTTTTACTTTATTAAATATTGTTACTATTAGTATTAATGCCATACTTTAACCTAAAGCAAATCTTCACCAACATTGCTTAATAACATAATAAAAAATACTTATGTAATTTGTAAATCATAAATTAACGTATAAAATGAAAAGCTGTTATATAATAAATCTCATAAATCTTATGCTTTTATATAATACTTGCTCATAAGTAGGACCAGCCAGAATCAACTGACTATTTTTGCAAAGAATTTTGTGAAAAAATCTGCAGATTTATGTAGAATGGTTTAAGAAGTAGAACTAAACTAAATATCTAAAATAAAAAACAATACTTTTTTTTTCCTTTCATTTAATGTTTACTGTGCAAATCCAACTAGATCCACTTACTTGGTAAACAAAGCAATTCTCATAAAGCATATCTACTAAAAGACAGAAAATATTACTTTACAAATTTTATTGTACATAAATCATATGAACATTTTAATATTACTGTTATATATAATAATTGAATAAATATAAATTTACACACGCAAATGCATAAAGATGGACTAAAAATCTGCAGGTTTCTGCGTGTGCAGATCCTGTAGCCCGACTCAAGTTGCCACATGGCACTTTTTATTTTATAAATTTCTGAGGTGAATGATCAAGATTTACAGTAAATTTACAAAGTTAATAACAGTTTATTCAAAGACAACAATGTCAAAAAAGAGAAATAAAATTGAAAACCTTAATCAGGATCATTTCAAATAACACCCCTCTTTTTTGCTTGTGATAAGTTCCTGTTGTCTTCTAGAAATAAAAAACTATTTTTTTAAATATATATTTATACATCAACTGTATTTTAGAAAGGTGCTATCGTATATCACATTTTTTTTGTGTGTGTGTGTAACTGTTTTTAAACATTAATAACAATTATTAACATGTTGTAAATATGACTCAGTCCAAAATTGGGGTACATTTTACAGAGGGTACATTTCACAGTAAACTGATTAATTGTTTTAAGTGAAACACTGGAAAATGATTAAATGTATTAGAAAACATTAGATTCTGCTACTAATTGTTGTTTAATTCCCTGTAAATGTTTTAAACCACAAACAGAGTTGACATTTGAAGTGAAGTGAGCCATTTATAAGTATATAAGTATAGTTTTATTCATATTTGAAATTGGCTTTTAGCATGCAAATGCACACACATTTTGAGTGAGGAGTGAGCACACACACACAAGCGCAGTGAGCAGCTATTGCTTCCAGCACCAGGTGAGCAATTAGGGGTTAGGTGCCTTGCTCAGGGGCACCTCAGATGGGTATCGAAGAACTGGGAGTTGAACCTGCAACCTTTCAATTACAAGTTCAACTGCCAACCAATAGGCCACAACTTTCCTTGCTTTAACTCAAGATGCTAACTACAAATCAGATACATGTCATTTTCATCGTATTATTGATATATGAAATTCAATGAAATATCACAATAACAGAGCTGACATAGTTGATTTACAATTGGTGTATCCTAAAACTTTTTACAAATTAATGAAAATAAATGACACGACTCGGAGCTCTTCCAGAGTTTGGCACATCAGTTGCAAGTCACACTCTTTTCTCATCAGTGCTTTACAGATTGTTGTACCTTTTTATAACCAATGTAACAGAGTTGACCAAAATGTACGAGTGACACATAATATAATATTTTTATTAACTTAAATTACAAAAAAAAAATACAGAAAACAAATTTTTCATGCAAATGTTTTACTTATCAATGTAAACGCTCAAGAAAGATGTAATTAGATTCAATTATTTCATTCATTCGTTCATTTTCCTTCTGCTTAGTGCCTTTATTAATTTATTCATTAGGGGTCGCCACAGCGGAATAAACCTACAACTATTCCAGCATATTCTGTGTTTTACATCGAGGATGCCCTTTCAACTGCAACCCAGTACTGGCAAACATCCATACACATTCATTCAAACACACGGCCAATTTGGTTTATTCAATTCACACATGTCTTTGGAGTCTGGGGGGAAACCAGAGTACCCGGATGAAACCCACGAGAACACGAGGAGAACGTACAAACCACGAAATGCTGACCCAGACGGGATTCGAATTAGCGATCTTCTTGCTCTGAGGCGAAAGTGCCAACCACCGAGTCACCTAACCCCCACCCCCCCACACACACTTGTTTCACGATAAATTATTATTTCAGGTGGACACACAATCAAGAATAGGTAAAATGGAGTAAGTTTATAATTTCAAGATGTTCATAAATACACAAACATTACTTTTTAGGTTTATTGGAGACACAACATAGCAACGTTATTCTATAATAGTTTCGTTTTATATTGCTGTTTTTGTTGTGTTTTGTTTGCACTAACATGTACATGCAGAATATTCGAGTTTTGTCGTTTTTGTTCTGTTTTGTATGCTTTTTGATGTTGACAATGTTCGAGTCTTGTTTTTGTATACTGTTCTAAGGGACCATGCATTAAAACATTTATTCTCTCATGTTTTGTCGTGATCTCGCTTAATTTTCTCGTGAACTCGACATAACAACTTTGATAACAACTTTTGTTAAGTCGTGATCACGACATAACAATTTTTATGTCGAAATCAAGAGAAAAAGTCTTTGACCAACAAAATTTGTTAAGTCGTGATCACGACATAACAATTTTGTATGCAATGTTATGTCGAGATCACGAGAAAATTAAGTCGTGATCTCGACATAACTTTGTAAACAAAATTGTTATGTCGTGATCACGACTTAACAAAAGTTGTTATGTCGTGATCACGACTTAATTTTCTCGTGATCTTGACAAAACAAAAAGTTATGTGTGATAACGAATTATTATTATCTGGCCAATAATGTGGTCATAATTGGCTATGAACATTTCCTGCTTGTCCTAAAACCTTTATAGCAGGCAACTAACTTCATGTTAAACAGCTATAACATAATTCATCAATATGGGGCATAGATTCTCGAAAGTTGTAAGAATAAAAAATGTAAAACAGAAAACATTGGGACCGTTTACATCCCTCAAAATGGTCTAATTATAGCCTATATAATTATTTACAGTAACATTCCCTCAACTGTTACCATTTCAAAGCAATTTTTAAAACCAACTTAAGCGCAAAATAAGTTGCTGGATGAATTAAATTATGAAAAATTATGCTTTTGCTGTGATCCATTCTGCAAATTATTTACAAGTACTTTAAAATTGCGCCATATTGAATTGCTTTAAAATGGAAACAGATTAGAATACTATTGTAAATAATGGTGTATAATCAAACACATGAAAATAATCATGAATGTACATTAATCATGAGCCCGATTTGCGCTCATATTAATATGGCTATTCTAAACGCCTTTAAGTTGTTATGTCGAGATCACGAGAAAATTAAGTCGTGATCAGGAGAAAACAACTTTTTGTTATGTCGAGAACACGAGAAAATTAAGTCGTGATCACGACATAACAACTTTTTGCTATGTCAAGATCACGACAAAACAAAAGAGAAAATTATTTTAATGCATGGCCTCTTAAGACCTCCGTATTGACATGGGTAACGTTGCAAAACGTTTTAGTCCTCTCGTTTTTGTTCCGTTTTGTATGCATATAGATGTAAAGTTGCACAGCGTTTGCCTATCTATAACTAACTGGTGAAAAACCCTAATCACACGTGCTCCCCCATCCCGCAGGCAAAGCAATCAACAGCGCTACCATCGATCAGACCTCTCTGCTCTTCTGCGCATGCGCGTTCGATGTCTCCGCAATGTTGTTTCGCTAGCGGAAGCAAAGATGGCGGCTTTTATGGAAGCGCCAACGTCCCCGTTGATGTGAGTGGCCAAAACAAAGCCCTGACCGGCACCGTGAGAGCGGAGAGATGTGTGAGAGCTTCGCGCGCTCTCTGCTGCGGGTCTCCGTGGCCCAGATGTGTCAGGCTGTAGGCTGGGACGCGGTGCAGCTGAGCGCCTGCGATCTGCTCTCCGACGTGCTGGAGAGATACGTGCAGCAGCTGGCCAAGAGCTGCCACCGTTACTCTGAGCTCTGTGAGTGTTTCTAAACATGCTTTATCGGTTTCATTTATATAGTGTGGAATTGTAGTGCGCACTAGAGAGTACTTGTGTACACTGTGTGGACTCAGTGTGTTTGCTTTGAAGCCCCGCCCACTCTCTGTGTTGTTAGCACGCTAAGCTAAGTAGCATATAATTTTTGGAGTTGTTATTGCATGGGGATACGTTCATTTGTTCACGGATTGTTTGAGTTCACAGTTTTTTTTGAATTTTGCATCATTTTGTTTAAAACAAGACGTGAGTTTAAAAGGTAGCTCCGAAACTTCTCGATGTGTGTGTGTTGTTTTGACAGCTGACCAGCGGCTAGTTAGCGGTTTATTAAGGATAACGGATCTCAGTTTTTTAAAAGGCTACCACGAGTTATGGCGTGAAGTATTAATCGTATTATTATGATTTAAACGTTTGCTGCACCTTAAAACAGCCACAGTGTGGAAGTTGATTGTGGGATGCTGAGTCTGGACTTCCACTTGTTGCCATAGTGATGCAACGTGAGCTGCAGCATCATGTGTTTATATGTGGAGATCACGCGTTCAAAACGTGTTATTTTAGCGTTAAATATATTTATGCATTCTCTTTTAGTTAGTTTTAGTGCTTTTGTAAAAAATTGTTGTATATCAACGTTTTATTTATTTGTTAACAATTTTTTTCATATAATGGAATGTTTTTACTTTTGTTTTCTGTAATAACTCAAGTTATGCAAGTTATGTTTGCATATAATAGCGAAGCTATAAAATCTTAACCTGGTTTTTGTCTAAGTAAGAGTCTGCAAAGTATTTATTAAGCTCCTTGGGCTTTATCTATTTAATTTGTAAATTTGTTTTCAAAATTTATATGTAATAGCTTAAAAAATATTTATAAAACTGTTATGCAATCTATACTCCAAAATAAAAGTACAAAAACTGTCATAAGGTGGTTCTCCCCAAGGGGATCAAAGAGAACATTTATTAATATAGACTTTTTAGATAGAAATGGGTATTGTTTTAATGTAGGCAACAACCCAGCTTTAGTACAATTATTTGATGATGGGCATGGCCAATATTTACATTTTTTGAAAGGAAAGGAGTAATACACATACCAACATTAACATGCTTTTTTGTTGTGACATTAATTTAAACATCCATTTATTAAGAAGCTTGAATAGGCTACAATTGTAAAAAGATCTGTTCTAAATGTAAAACTAAATAAATCGCTAAATACTCTTGACACATGAAAGTGTAAAGCATGCAGCTCACAACAAAAGTGTAAAGTTATCGCATAACATATTTAACAAACAGTTTGCTATATGAATTTAAGATAATTTGGTTCACATGAATAATTTAATATTAATCAGGTGATGTCATTACGCTGTTGTGCCATCAGCCAATCATTGCATTGCTCATCATGATTTCGACAACACACGCAGCAATCTCAGATCAGTTAATTCTGACATTTTAATCAGATTTGTGAACTTGTTTGAAGAACAAAATTAGCCAGAGATCAGTTATCAAGAATAAAAGATCCAGGATCTGTCAAATCGTCTTAGGTCATTTTTTTAAGCAAGGTACGAAGAACCGACCCCGTGGAATATATTATATATAGTATGCCATTTTAATATGAAATGCATTGTTTATTTTATTTTTTAGGTGTTTACTTCATCATTTTTATTTCATTTTGCTATTTTTTTACATCTACACATTGTTGCATATTATAGTTTAAATATTTTTGTTTTTGTAAATGTAAACAGCCTTGTTTTGAAATATTGGTTTGTTTACATTGTGTTAATGCAATGTTATGTTTTAACAAATACTTATTTGTGATTGGTTATTCGATGCATTTCATGATAAATCAATGTTTATATTTTACTGTTGTAAGCATCTCTTGTTTTGTCTTTTAAAGTTTTTTTTGCATCAACATTTATTTAATTATTTTTGGTTTGTCAATTAAAGACAGTACTAGCCATGGGCCAGTATAAGATTCTGACTGTATGATATAACCTTGAATAAAAGTATCATGGTTTCACAGTATTGTGATTACTGCTCTAAAATGTATTCTTTTTAAATGTCTGGGTAAAAATTCCCCTTTGAGAACAATATATTTCATTTTGAGAAACATTTAAAGTATTATGGAGCAGTAAACATGTCAGGCTGAATAATTAAAATGAATCTTTGACTTCTGCTGTCTTCATTGGTTTCAAAAACACAGGTTTCTTAACAATTTAAAACGGCATCTTTGGATATCTTTTTTTTTGCTGGAGATACTATTGTCTTAAAAAATCTTACACATACCTTAGGAATGATATAGCAGAAAACTTGCCATTTTAAAACCTTGACTTTTGTAAATCGCGGTGTACCTTGAAAATGGTTTTCGTCCCATACCTAGTCAGTACTCATCTTGAACAAACAATAATTCCATATAAATGTTCAAATTATAATCTCTCTCTGTGTGTGTTGTCCCCCCAGATGGACGTACAGACCCTGGATTGAGTGATGTAGACCAGGCTTTTGGGTTTCTGGGAGTCAGTATAGCTGAACTTGAGGACTATGTAAATAATGTTGAGCCTATCGGTTACCCACAAACAATCCCTCAGTTCCCCATCAGCAAGAGCAGCGTTCTGCAGTTTCCCGCCGCAGGCTTCGACACTGATGCCCGCGACGCTCTCAGGGGTGAGAGGAGAGACTACATCCCAGAATACTTCCCTCCACTTGTCTCCCTGCAGGAAGGTATGTACCTTCACCAATATTAACCAATATATTCATGCATCAGTTCAGATCAGAGTTGAATTATTAAGTATTTGTTTAGTTATTTACTGATAATTTGGCAAGTTTGTGACAGTTAGATTTTACTAGCTAAACAAAAAGGTCTGTTTTTGATTATGTACAAGACATTTTTTTTTATTTGCATTATAAAACCCCTAATGACACACACACACACACACACACACACACACACACACACACACACACAAACACACAAAGGTGTACTTAAGCGAACAGTAGTCTAAAACAAAATAGAAAATATTTTTTATTAGGGATTTCACTTCAAGCCTCACAGTTACTAGACTTATTATATGTAGTTTTCGTTTTCTGTAGTACTTTTGTAATGTACTCTTGTTTTATTAAAAATATATATATGTTTTTTTAAATTATGACAAGGATGCATTATTAACACTTTTGAAAATTTTTAGGGCATTTATGTTGTTGCAGAAGAGTTCTATTTCAAATAAATGAAAAAATCCTGGAATACAAGTAGTTTCAACAAAATAAGATGGTTATGAAAATTAAAAAATAATAATAATAATAATAATATCATTTTGGAACATCAAATAACAACATCAGAATGATTTGCAAAGGATCAAATATCTGCTCCTATTTAATAATCATTAAATTTAAAAAATAATTAATTCATTCATTTATAATCTGAAATTTGCTGCCATTTAAATATAAAAAAATATAAAATATGTTTTAAAAAATTAAACAGCAGTATATTTTAACTTTAAATAATTTGTTAATTTGGTTCTTTATTTGCTTATTTTAGAGACATCAGAAAGATCTGCGAAGGATCAAATTGCTTCTTAAATTTAATTATTAATCAAATTTATTAGTTATATATTGAATATTTATATTTATAAGTTAATAATTAATTATTGAATTTATAATCAGACATTTGCAGCCATTTAGATATAAATAATATAAAATATGTTTCAATAAATAAAACAGCAGTGTATGCTAGCTTTAATTAATTAATTTATTTGGTTCTTTATTTGGTTATTTTTTAAACATTTTTTTACCTTTTCTTTCCCAAAACAATAAATAATCTGGCATAAGAAAAACAGCTCTATATTATATTATATTATATTATATTATATTATATTATATTATATTATATTATATTATATTATATTATATCAATAAGGTAATTATTAATTTACTTAACTTTTTTCAGCAGTCACTAATGTAATATCTACACAAATATGTTTACTGTACTATAAAGAAAATACCAAAAGCTCTACCAGGCAGAACATTTACTTACAAATTTGACCTTGCCAAAAAGCATAATTTGTTTTAGGACTGGGTATCGATTCAGACTGATATCTGAATGACAAGCTTTTTATACAATTTTTGATTTGTTATGTTTTGTCTTGATGCAGTTTGATTTCCTAAGTGAGTACATATTTAATATAGTACAGTATTAATAATAACACAAAAACAGATAACAGTTTATTTTAGTTATACATGGGTGCATTAAAACACACAGAGTAGGCATGGACAAGTATAAGATTCTGATGGTATAATAGCCTTTGATAAAAATGTCTCGGTATAACAGTATTGTGATTACTGCTCTAAAATATATTCTGTTTAAATGTCTGGGTAAAAAAACAAAAACTTTTTTCCCCTTTGAACACAATATATTTTAGTTTGAGAAACATTTAATATCTAATTTTGGAACAGTAAACATGTCAGGCTAAATAATTCAAATGAATCATTGACTTGTGCTCTCTTTATTAGTTTCAAAAACACAGATTTCTTTACAGCTTGAAAAGGCATCTTTGGATATCTTTTCTGCTGGAGATACTGTTGCTCGGAAAAAAAACATGTAAAAAATCTTACTAATATTGTAGGAATGGTATCACAGTATTTTTTAAAACTTTTCCAAACTGCAGTAAATCTTGAAATCGGTTATCGCCTCATGCCTTACACATAGATTGTACATTGATACAGATTTCACGTATAAAAAAATAATGCTATAAAAAAATTTTATTTGTTCTTTGATAAATTATAACAACATAAACAGTGTATTATTATGCTGCTGTCACTTTAAGACATTATTCACGGCTAATGTCTCAGAAATACTTATATATTGGTGGAGTGTTTTGTCCCATAGAATCACACACACCGGAACTTCCATATTCCATGATTCCCTAGTGTTGCGGTCCTTCACTCTTACTCCATCCGGCTCATAACACACACACACATACACACACACACACACTGCGTGCCAGTGGGTGGTGGAGGGGCCGACATGATCCGGGTTGTTTCGGGTCAAACAGGAAGCTCTCTGGCTGTGAGGTGTGTTTGCGGGTGTCCGTGTGTGAGGAACAGGAAGTCGGCAGGCTGTAGGCTTTCAGCCATGTGTGTGTGAGAAGCTGGCGGAGGTCCGGCCCGGATGGCACACATCCCAGGTGTGTGTGTGTGTGTAAGAGAAAGTGCGTGTGTGTGATCATCCAGTCAGGGCAGGGGGTCTAACTGGGCTTGGAGCCAGAGCTCAGCTGGATGCCCCTCTGCCAGAAGAAAGACTCAGGGTCTCTGTTTCTCCCGCTCCTCTATTTCCATGTGCTGCTTCATTTTTTTTTTTTTGGTTCCTGTCTCTCATTTCTTCCTCATAGATCAGTCAGAGGATGTGTTTCACCCGAATAAACTCCTGCCGCAAATCTGCATGCGCTCGTATAGGCAAAACAGACAAGAGTTTAAACATACAGTATATTCTTCCGAAATATTGAATTGGTACAATATGCATTTCTCTCCAAACCGCAACGGTTACGGAGCCCCGCTGCGAGTTGGAGTGTTATTAATGTGAATGGATTTTTATTTTTTTTTGCGTGTGTGGTTTGTGTTTCTAGTGCTCTTTTTATTTTACTACGGTTGCAGTTTGCGATTGGAACAAACGGCTTAAAATAAGTATTAAACGCTGACATGTAATAGATCCTGGATTATTGGTGGAGGCCTAAAACAATAACAATTACATAGAGAGACACTAGAGAAATGTTCTGGGACATCAAAAATATTTTTACTAGTATTGTGGGTGAATTTATTATTATTATTTTCAATAAATATGATATATATTTGCTGAGTGTGTTTTGTCGCTGATATATTGGCTGGTTCATGCGTAGTCTCATGCCTCATGGGGGATTCACGCCAGACACAGTTTGTGTGAAGAGTAGGGCTGGGCAATTTGGCCTAAAATCAAAATCTCCATTAATGGAACATTTTAACTTGATTAAGATTAATAAACAATTATTTTATTTATGGATAAATTTTTTTTGCCCTCATAGTTCACTAACAAGTTTTAAATGTCGTCTAAAGGCATTTTCACACAGCTTCAATGTAATGCAAAGTAAATCTCAGGAGTGAGTACATCGTCCTACTTGACCAGAGATCAGATGTGGCTGCAAAGTGGCCGCAGAAGTAGAAATCAGCCAAAGCCTTTAATAGAGCAGATTCATGTGACTCATAGGGAAGGTAATCTATATCGTCCTGGAAAAATTACATTGATTATAGGTCTGAATGCCGTTTTCGATTACTTTTTCAATTAATCGCCCAGCCCTAGCGAATAGATATCGCTATTCGGTACACTTTTCTAAAAACACTTTTGCAGATCTTCAGTCGTACGCTTGATTGGTTTAGTCGAGTATACAGTTATCAGCCCACCTGGCAATGAGTCTAAGCGGATAAAAAAGCTGAAATGTTTATATTGTGCCCACTAATAAACGAATAACTTTTAATTTCTTTATTTATTTTTCTTTAGCTTAGTTTCTATTATATCTATTATATCGCCACAGTGGAATGAAACTCCAAAAATTCCGGCAACTATTATGTTTTACAAAGCGGATGCCCTTCCAGCCACAACCCAGTACTTGGAAACACCCACACTCTAATTCACACACACACACACACACACACACACACACACACACACACACACACACACACACACACACACACACACACACACACTCATACACTACAGCCAATTTAGTTTATTCGATTCACCTATAGCGCGTGTCTTTGGACTGTGAGGGAAACCAGAGCATGGAGGAAACCCATGCCAACACAGGGAGAACATGCACACTTCACACTGAAATGCTTAGCCAGACTTGAAAAAGTGACCTTCTTGCTCTGAGGTGACCGTGCTAAACACTGAGCCACCGTGCTGCCCTGTATAACTTGTATCATAACTTTTTTTTTTTTTCAGAAACATTCATGAATCTGTGATTTAATGCCTTAATTTTGGGTTTGACTTAAACGCTGGGTTATTAAAAGTATGCAATGACCACTTCTTAAAAGCTTCAACTCATATTGTCAACAAACTTGCAGGTTTGCTTATATTGCTTATATTTGCTTACATTTGAAGATTAGTCGTTTTAGTTATTTTTATAGTTATAGCTTTTACAGAACAAAGAAAACTTTCATTGCAGCTTTTGTGATCTTGTCATGCATGTATTTGCAGAAAGATTATTAAGGATATTGATGTTGATGTTAATTTTAAAGACGTTTGTGAATGAATGATGCACGGTTATGTGACAAGTTGTTATTCTGAGGACTTTCCACATCCACAAACATGGTTCTTGCGCCACAAAACAAAACATGTTTGGTTGGTTAAACTTTAACACCAAAACAGGTGGTGCCCGACCATTCAAAGCGTCCAAAGTTTCAAAACCTATATGAGGTCTGGCTTTGCAAGACTACTTTAGACTCAAGTTAGAGTCATTAAATTTTAATCACTCTTAATGAGTGAATTACTGAATTGCTTATTTAAACAATTGTTGATTCACTTAGGAAGAAGTGACTACCTTCATGAGTGGATAATTGTTATTTTTTTGTTGAACTTTGCCATTAAGTATCACATTTGTGATCATAATATGCTGATGTTAGAAAAAATGGCACTTTTTGGGTAATATTATCTTAAAAAATTTTATTTGATAAACATCTGATGGATATATTAC